TTTTCGTCACTGTGACCAAAATACCTAACAAGAACAACGTAGAGGAGGAAAAATTTACTTTGGGCTCATTGTTCAGAGGTTCAGTCCATGGTTGGTCAACTCCACTGCTGAAGGGCAAGGATGAATTGCCCTACAAGGGGAACATCATGGCTGAAGAGTGTGAAGGGTGTGGAGGAGGAAATCTGCTTAGCTCATGGCAGCTAGGAAGAGAGGAGGTGAGAAGGATGGAGGGGGAGAGAGAAGAAGCAGACCAGGTACCCCCACCCAAAAGACCTTACCATAATTAAGTTTCTCCAAAGACCCTTCCCGTAATTACGCTTCTCGTCACCAAGATTTTACAGATTATCAACAGGATTTCACAGGAGTTCTGCAAAGAGTTCAGTGTGGTGTGAAGTTTCTACTTTCTTGTAAATGCCAGGTTTGCATACAAAAGGTGTGATAGAGTCTGTCTCAAAGAGTTTATTGCTGTATTAAAGATACTCTATTTTCTTGGTAAAAACTTAGAAGATCTCTGTCTAGCCTAATAATATGGGACAAAGTGTAACTTTTCCCAAACATTGGGTATAAAGTTCCCAAGCAGTGGATATAAAGTTTCCAGACTGGGGTCCAAAGAGTTTTAGGCAGTAGACCCTCTGGACAACTGCAGCTTAAATAAACCTGCTTCCTGAAAATTCCTCAGGTGTCCAGCTTCATCTGTCCTATATCAGAGATAGATAGATATAGAGGAGCCAAGCACATGCCTTCAGTGATCTACTTCTTTCTGCCACTACTACTTGCTTACAGTCACTACTCAGTACTCTATTCAAATTATTTATCCATCAATTGCATTAATCCACTGATGAGTTGGGCATGGTGGCACATACTTATAATCCTGGCCACTCCAGAGGCTGAGGCAGGAGGATTGAGAGTTCAAGGACCTCTCTCTCTCTAAAAAAGATTAATCTACTGATCAGAGTGCCCACAATTTACTCATTGCCTAAACACCCCACCTCTGAACCTTGCAGTATTGGGAATCATGCTATCAAAACATGAGTTTTTCAGGGGACATAAAGAGTTCCAAACCACAACAATCAGTGAGAAGTAAAACAAATCCGAATGCTGTTAGGATGGTGGTAGTTAACAAAACTGCACAATATTCCTTTTAGTAGTTGACCAACTAAACTTCTCCTGTGACTCTGGCTGCACACTGCACTCTTTTTCTTCCCTATTTATTTATTTTTTATTTGTTCTACTTAGTTGTATATGACAGCAGAATGTATTTCAATTCATCCTGCACAAATGGAGTGCAACATTTCAATTCTCTGGTTGTACAGGGACTAGAGACACACCATTCGTGTAATCATACATGTACCTAGGTAATGATGTCCATATCATTCCACCAGCTTCCCTGCTCTTATAACCCTTCCACATACTCCCCTCTGCCCAATTCAAAATTCCTCCATCCCTCCCACCCCCTGCCCTTCATCATAGATCAGCATCCACTAATAAAAAAAAAAAACATTTGGCCTTTAGTTTTTGGGATTGGCTTACTTCGCTTAGCATGATATTTTCCAACTCTATCCATTTATCTGCAAATTAATGCTGGGTAATATTCCAGTTTGTATATATATATATATACACACACACACACACACACACACACATACTACAGTTTCTTTATTCATTCATCTATTGAAGGGCATCTAGGCTGGTTCCACAGTTTAGCTATTGTGAATTCAACTGCTATAAACATTGTGTACACTGCACTCTTACTACAGAGACTTCTTGCTGGGGTGAGCAAGCCCAGCTGAGTTTGGAGGACAATATGTTTACATCCTACAGTGACCCACATATGTGCAGACTGGAAGAAATAATCCTTGAAAGAAGGAGCAAAGGAGTAATAGGATCACTGCATGGGTGGGGCCCAAGAATGAGGGAGGTGAAAACAAGGAAAAATATATGGCTAAATTGTTTATGCACACGTAGCCTAGGGACAATCAGGAACTGTCTAAGCAACATTCTCAATGCTTACTTTAGCTTTCTGGAGAGAAGGAGGCATGTTTCTGTCTATAAAATACTTAAAAACAGGTTCAGTGATGGCAGGACAAAGGGAACATGCTTCTTTATATGACATCATCTCCCACTTCCATGTTCAGAAGGGTTTTTATACTCAAGGTCATTTTCAGAAAGAACAGTCAAAGTGAGACTTTCTGGCGGGATTCTTAAAAACCTAAAGACGAATGAATTACATGGTTCATCAAGACCCATTGAAAGAGTGACTTTGTGGGAAGCAAGGGGTCATTTTTCTTTCCCACATTTTGTTACCATAATCAGTGATTATTATTGCCTAAACACCCCACCTCTTCTTGTCACCAAGATTTTACAGATTGTCAATAGAATTTCGCAGGAGTTCTGCAGAGAGCGCATGCTCTGTGGGTGCATATGTGTGTACAGACAGAAAGAGGAAGACAGAAAAGGGTGATTAGAAATACAGAGATAAGGCCCGGGGTTGTGACTCAGTGGCAGAGTGTTTGCCTGGCATGTATGAGTCACTGGGTTCAATTCTCAGCACTGCATATAATAAATAAAATTAAGGTCCATTGACAACTAAAAAATTATTAAAAAAAAAAAAAGAAATACAGAGATAAGAGAAACTAAGAGGTAAACAGTCAGGTCCTCATCCCACCCTTCTACCCCCCATATTATAAAGAGCTTTATTGGGACACAATAAAGATATACTAGAAATTCAGGGGTCAAAGATGCTATAATGAACAACAGTTTTTAAATTTTTTTTTTAAAGGCAAGAATCTGGTAAAATCATCATCATCATCATCAGCAGGGACAGGTTTAAAAGAAGCACATAAAAAGATTTGTTTTTTCACATTATGACCCCAGCTGACAGCATAATTATTACTGATGTATACACCTTTTTTTGTGTGTGTGGTACTTGGGATTGAACCTGTGGTACTTTACCACTGAGTTATAACTCCAACCCCCTCCCTTTTTTTCCCTTTTGATACAGGGTCTCACTAAGTTGTCCAGACTGACCTCAAATATGTGATCCTCAGACTCCTGAGTTCCTGGGATTGCAGGTGTGCTCCCCCCCCAATCTTTTTATTGGTTCTTTGATGATGTGTACAATATTTGTCTTAAAAATGCTGAAGAGGGAAAAATCAAATGGATTGTGCTAATGTCTGTGTCCTTTAGATCACCAGGACCACTGATGAACAAATAAAGCATTTTCTGAATTTCACCATCCTAACATACATAAACCAAAACAGCAGACAATTCATATTAAAGTCAGAAAAATTTCAGTCTGATTCTATGAATTTATAAAGTAGGATGAGTTGTTGAAGGCAAGGAAAATACATTCTTAAAAATGAATCTGGGCTGATTTCAAAGAATTGCATAAATGAATACCTAGATGATGTTTTAGAGCATTGTAGAGTACATGTAGGAAGGTACCTTAAATTTTCACAAAGCTTGAGGGCTGAGGATATAGCTCGGTTGGTAGAGTGCTTGCCTTACATGGACAAGGCCCTGGGTTCAATCCTCACTACATAAAAAACAAAACAACAACAACAACAAAAACCCATGAAGCTTGAGAGGTGAACCATAATAATAATAGTACTTCCAGAATATGGAAGATTGGCAATTGATAGTAACTAAGATAGTATATGCGTAATCATAGATTAAGATGCCAGAATGCATAGAAATAGCATTACAATTGATAATCTCTTTATAAGTTGTTTTCTGTTTCTAGAAAGGTAGAAACATACATCTAGAAAGTATACAAGTGTTTAAGGGCAAGGTATTTGGTGGACTTTTGTCATTATTTGGCTACTTGGCATTTGAAGCCCCTTAACCCCGTGTTAAGATAATCTCCTACATTTGAACCCAGGTGGTAGAGGCTGAACCAGCCCAATGCTTGCTTTCCCATGCTGTATAGTTAATGCACAGGTGTATGACCTAGATTCCACTATTAGATCCACCTGAACCAGATTTTTGACTTGTAAGCTAGTAATGAAAAACAGAACCAGTAGCAATAGCAAGTGGCATTTCCAATGCAAAAAGAATACCAACTAAGAAATGATGGAGCATCCTTTCCCTTCGGACAGCTCAACTGCAGTGCTTGTTGGAAAGTTAAGTTCCAGGTGCAGAACCAGCAGCCATGCTGTGGTGGTGACAATTGTGAGATCTGTTTCTTTGCTGAGAACCATCCAATCTTTTAAAGCATCTTATCTAATTTAAAAAATGTGACGACTGCTCATTGTCGGAAATATGTAGAATTTAGAAAAAGACAAGGTGTTTTCATGTGTACATACATATGTAGGGTTTGTAAGATTGGGATCATACCATAGTTTTATTCTTGTAATGTGATTTTCTTTCTTTCTTTTTTTGGGGGTACTGGGGATTGAACTCAGGGGCACTTGGCCACTGAGACACATCCCCAGCCCTATTTTGTATTTTATTTAGAGACAGGGTCTCACTGAGTTGCTTAGGGCCTCGCTTTTTGCTGAGGCTGGCTTTGAACTCACCATTGTCTTGTCTCATCCTGGGATTACAGGTGTGTGCCACTGTGCCTGGCTTGTAATGTGATTTTCTGTTTTATTTTCAATGCCTTTCTTTGACAGGACAATTCTAAATAACAAAATCATTTAACTGTTCTGCTGTTGAATGTTTAGATTTAATATTCTGCTGTCAGAAGGCTTCGAAGAACATTCTTATATGTAAAACATTGACTACATCTCTAATTATTGCTTTAGGGTAAATTCCTAGATGGCAGATCATTAACAGTAAAATGTGAACATTTTAAGGCTCTGTACCCATTTGTAAAATTGTTCTCCAGAGGTGGCTGACCCACTCTTGATTCCCTGGTGGGTTCTGAATAAGTATTTGGAAGAAAAGAAGTATGAATTGAGTTGAAAGTAGTAGCGTAGAGGTAGAGAAAGTGTTAAAAAGCACAGCACATCTTAGTTACCCTTGTTTACAAACTGACAAAACACAGGGTGAGCAGGGTGTTTTAACCAATGAGTATTTTATTAAAAGCCAGTGGTGCACCAGGCTCAGTTGTTGTCCAGTAGGCCGACAAATACAAATGATGCCACCAATTCACTTAGCTTATCTGATTAAACAAAATACATTTCATAGAAATGATTATAAAATGCATTGCTGATAGAAACAGAATATATTTTATACTTATAGATCTTGTACCCTAAATAATTATTAGTAAAAACCAGCCAACCCATATGGTAAATAAAGTTAGCAACCAGTTATTTCTTTATTTTAGTCAACAGAGAAAGACAATTGTCATGTTGAAATGGGTTTCTGCATTCATCACAGCCTTACTGTTTCAAAGCTAACGTAGTTGACATACAATATGAAAAATTCATTTTTTATTCTGTATTAAATAATTGTTAAACACTTTTGGTTTAAAGTTAGTTTTGGTTTCAGAATAAGTTTAATTTACTATTTCTGTCTCGTGCCTCATGATTCACCATCTGTGGTGGGTGAGAATCACTCCAATTAAGTATTGGTTACAGGAACAAAGCAAAACATAAATGGGATAGTTTAATCCACTTTGCTTGACATTCTTGCCAAAACTGAATGAAGAAGTTAAGATACATAGGTGATTTCAAGCAAAACACAACAGCAGAAGGGGGAAGGGAGTGGGCGGGGGAAACTGGTGTTATTTGAAGCAAGCCTGTCTAATATTTAGAGACATTTATTGCCTTTTTGGAGACTTGGGTCATTCTTTAAAGGACTGTATTGAGTCCATTGGTGTTTGATGTATCCCTAGGTTTGAAGGTTGGGTAGGAGGGGTATAAGAGCAAAAGGAGGGTGGGAAGGACTTAACAGGTGTGGGGTGGAGTGTTTACTGACACAATCACGGCAATCGCAGAACCCCAATTGCCCCAGGGAGTGTCCACCAGGCCTTTCCTGAGACCTCCAGAGATGGGTCTGTTTTCTTCAGGCAGCGGCGGCAGCAGTAGAAGCAGCAGCAGCAGCAAAAACTTCTTCAGAGACAAGGTCAACTTTTATTGCACAAGAAGCAGAACAAATCCCCTCCCCTATCCTGAGCTGGAGACCTCCCAGTGCAAACAGGTCTGGATTCTCATCGGCTCGCACCTCTGGCCAGCAGGGGGCGCTTAACAAGCACGCCTGGGGAGCACCTTCTTGGCGGAAACGTGAGGTATTGTGTTGGCCCCAGCAATCTGGTGGGTCAGTCACTATTCTCAAGCAGCTTTTGTAAGTTGTTTTGTATCTTGAAATAAAAAAGAAACTTCTGTTAGTAAACAGAATGGAGTATCTTAAGGGTGTATTTGCCATGGCCTGTGTAATACTTGAGATTCAATATTTTCTACCTTGAATAAAAAGGTACACATAGGTTAAAGTGAAATAAGGCAAGCAAATGATTTTTCAAGGACTAGAATTCTGTTTGACAATCAAATCTAAAAATGGAAAAAAAAAAAAAAAACTAAAGGAAAAAAAAAAAGAGTGGCACAAAAAGGAAAATGTCAGTAGAGACTGAGAGAAATGAGGTAGAAGAAAAAGAACAAAGAACCGACAACACCCAGTGCCACCCAAATTCATTTAGAGACCATGGGAAATTGGCCTTTCCAGAACCCATTTGATGTTTTTTTTTTTTGTACCAGGAATTGAACTCAGGAACACTCAACAACTGAGCCACATCACCAGCTCTATTTTGCATTTTATTTACAGACAGGGTCACACTGAGTTGCTTAGTGCTTCACTGTTGCTGAGGCTGGCTTTGAACTCACGATCCTACTGTCTCTACCTCCCAAGCCACTGAGATTACAGGAGTGTGCCACCATGCCTGGATCCTTTGATGGTTTAATTAGGCTAATGCCACATCATAATCATTAACATTCCCATTAGATATAATTTATGCACAACACTCCCAAGAAAACTGTAAATTTCACGGGGATAGGAACTGACCAAGGGATCGACCATGTCTTATGCTTGGACCTTAAGACTATAATCCACTAAAAATGGACATTAAATGTCTGTTGAATAAAATAATTTTAAAGAATTCAGAGCAAGGAATTCTCAACAACCAATATGGTGTTGGGAGTAAGGAACTCCATGCATCAAAGAAAAAAAAAAAAGGAGAACGTATTCTCCTATAATCTGGGTATTTGTCCCCTCTCACACTCATGTTGAAACTTAATCCCCAGTCATATGTTTCGTATTTTGAGGCAGGGCTTTATAGGAGGAGGAAGAGATACCCAAGTTAGTAAGCTTGTTGTCTCACCATGTGAACCCTTGTGCCACCTCAGGACTCCACAGACTCCCTATCAGCAAGAAGGCTTTCACTAGATGTGGCCCCACAACCTTGGACCTCCCTACCTCCTGAACCATAAGCTGAATAAGCCTTTATTCTTTATAAGTTGCCCAGTCTGTGATCTTCTGTTACAGCAAAAGAAAATAGACTAATAGACTAAGATATCTTTTGAAAAGGTCTGTGATGTCCTTCAGGCATACTTGGGCAAAAAAAGAGAAAAGGTCTCTAATGTGTACGTGGTAGGAACTGGATGTGTTGCTCACCTTAACCACCCAATACCACACACAGGCAGTTCTGTACATGAAATTGAGGACCAGAGGGGTTAAGGAACATGACCAGTTACACAAGCAGTAAGTGGCAGAGTAGTGATAAAAACAAAATTTACACTCTTTCTACCATACCATTCTACCACCATTAATGGCACTTCTAGTATCAAGAAAATAACTATGTATTTCTTTGCTCATAAAAAAAAATTGCCTTCTCTCATATTCCTGCTTCTTAACTTCCCTGCCTCCCTCAGTACCAAGGATAAGTGGAAAAACAGGAGTAGGAAGATAAAAAAAAAAAAGAAACAAAAGATAGATACCCAAAATAGTGAAGACACACTTACTAAGGGCAAAAAACAAACAAAAAAAACTCTAAAACAAAAAACCAAATCCACAAAAATAAAACAAAAGAGGCAAACAATTTGTAGAAGAAAACCCAAATGTCTGATAAATAGATGAGAGGGTCAACCTCAGCAGTAATTAGGAAAATACAAAGAAAATTCATAATGAGATTCATAGTATCAGACTGGTAAGCAGGGGCCTGAATGGGTCAGGATAGGGCCAGTGGAAAGAGACTTTGAGGAGACATTTGAGGGTAAAGTTCATAGGATTTGCCAACACATTAGTCAATCAGGGGCAGGCGAAAAGCGGAAGGAGGTAGACATTATTCTTAGACTTCTAATGAGGAAGACTGAAAAGAACAGTGATCCCATGAGCAGAAACTGGGAGGTATTAACCAGGGAAAGACCATGAAGCTTAGACATGACCCATCCTTGAAGGTGTGAAAAGAAATCACTGGTACTGTGTAAAAGGAGCAGCCACCTTTCACACTTTTCCATAGCATGGAGCTGTTATTTCACCCCAGGTTGTGCTGTGTAATTGTAATTGCCTCTGAGGAAGGGGGCAGACCCATCCAAAACCAGGGGGGTGGCCTGATAACTCTTTTTCATACTCAGATTCCCTTGAGTAATACACGTAACTTATAGCTTTTCAGAATGTCAATTTGACCCAAATCTCCTTTTTACTAATTCTGCTTTGGGACAAAGGTGGTCTCCACTGGTACTACTGGAGAGGTCTCCCTAGCTGGCTAGCTGAACTGGGTCTGAAGCCCTACCAGAGACCCAGCCAGCTGTAGACCTGCTAAGAACAAGTCTTCCTGTATTCTGTCCCATTTCTACAGAATGTGGCATCCTGGCCAGGCCTGGCAGGAGAGTGAGAAGGAGAAAGCAGCAGGATTCTGTGTGCTTCCTATTCAGAGAATACCATTTGAATGTCAGAGTGAAAACTAATACCACTCTGTTCTCTAGGTCAGCATGAAAGGCAACATTAGTAAGCATTTCTTTATAAACAAAACCCAAACAACAGAATAAAAAAAAATCATCTTCAATTCTCAATGTTTTAGAAAGGAAAAAAAAAATTAGTATCTAACCCACATCTGGTCTAGTTGATTTTGGATTTAAAAGAAAATGTTTCTTAGTTTGGCCAGAGATACAATGACTCAATATGAATTATCTGGTTGAAACAGTGGTTTGGAAACTCCTTTGCTTTCAACCCTTGTTTCTTAAATGCTAGGTAACATTTAATGTAGGACAGCAAAGATAACTTTGCTTATTTATATTTCATATTTCTTCCCAGAACTGCACTATTATGTAAAGCCACCAAATACTCAGAATTCATAATCGCAGTTCTAAGCAAACACTTGATTTTTCACTCTACACCTTTCCTTAAGGATTAAGATTAGAAAGAAAAAGAAAGAAAGAAAGAAAGAAAGAAAGAAAGAAAGAAAGAAAGAAAGAAGAAAGAAAGAAAGAAAGAAAGAGGAAGGGACACAAATGCTGAAAGACCTGTTTATTAGGTTTAATTCTGGGATTTTTCTAGCATGTTGTTTCTCCTTGTTCACTCTCCCATCGGCTTCCAAGAATGCCACAAGCTAATGACAGATTTGCCCTGGGAAGATATTATTAGAGGTAGAGGTACATCAGTGGCCTCATCTACAAAGTCAAGGTCTGGATTCTGAGAAGCAATAAAGCCTAGGGCTGCTTGCTTGACTAATATATCAATTAACTGATATATGCCTCTGTTTGTCTTGTCCAAGAGATTGAATCCAGGGCTTCTTACATGCTGAACACATGCTATACCACTGAGCCCCAATCCCAGCCCCTAGGAGAGAAAGTTTCTAAGCACAACTTCGCAATCAGATCAGTTTCAAAATGTAGGTCCCCAGTCAACTTTCTAGTGTATCACCTTGAGCAAGGTAATAAAACTTGTACCTTCTCTAACAGACAGTGACCTACTGCAATATTTTATGTATGGCAAGAATCAGCCTGGGTGGTGGTGGGACTGGTCAATTGTCTCAGTTGACTCCCTACCATGCCTAGTGTCAGTGGTCACTTTCCATTGAGTCCTATGGCACAGAGAAATATGTCTAATCAAGGAGAAAACAAAAGAAAGACCAAGGGAAACCATGTATTTAAAGGAAAATGAGATTAAAATCTGTTTCTTGGGGGCTGGGGTTGTGGCTCAGTGGTAGAGTGAATGTCTTGCATGTACGAGGCACTGGGTTCGATCCTCAGCACCATATAAAAATAAATAAATAAAATAAAGGTTTGTGTCCATCTATAACAAAAAAAAAAGTAAAAAAAATATATATTTCCATTATGGAAATAAAAAGTATTTTTCCATATTTACTTTGTAAACCCCTGCCCCCCACTCCCCTGCCAGGTTTGGTCATTTAGGTTTTCTGCAGACTGAGTTGTGTGAGTGTGTAAACCCTGGTCCATGGCAATTGATGGAAACTACCATGAAGAAAATGGGTCACCTTTTCTAACTTCACTATGTTAGCTGAAAGTTCTTGGCAGAGGACCTCCACATTTAATTGTACTTGTGATCCCAGGCTGGATGGTGCTATCTGTCTGTAAAAACAAAGAGAAAAATTATTAGCAGGGAGGGCAAAGAGAGAAGTGGAATGAATCCATTTTCAATTTGAGTGGCAAACTAGGCTATAATAGGAGAGAGAGAGCATTTCACTTGTTAATATCAGAAAGGCCCTGCAGTAATCCCCACCTCCAGACTAGGTATTTAGGAAATTAATTCTCACAAGCTCAGCTGAAAATCTTTTAAGCTATTTTTGTTCAAGGGAATGAGTTGTGCCTTGGCTTCCTAACAAAAATCAGACCATTATTTTCAAGTACATGGTTTCTTAGACTCCTTTTATTAACTCCTAACATCCTTTCTTTCCCTACCACAGCATACATTTGTAAGGCTTATTGCTAACTCAGTAATACACAGATTTTTTTTTCAAATGGGAGAAAGTTTAGAAATGTCTATCTCATTAATCAAATTTCCATTCAAGTCTGAGATTTTTTGGTTCCTTCCTTGAGACTTGTCATACCATCATAACAGGTGTCCAATATTTACCATTTGACTATTTTGGGCATGGCTCTTACTCTGGGGTCCTTTAGTTGTTAACACCATAGGAAATTTGGAGAAGTACAGTAAATACATTTTTCTTAGAGAGATGATCTAAAGCTGTTTATGAGATTTTCACAATCAAGTTAAGAACCATAATCTGTATCCACTCTACATTTCTTAGTTGTGATTTAATTGGCACTGTTCAGTTTTTGGATGGTGGTGACTGGTCCAATTTATTTTACATAGGTGCTGTTTTTAAGATAGAGGGACTTGGTAAGTTATGGACAATTATTTAAATCTTAAGAAAGATGTCAATATTCTTCATCCTTGACCCATGGAAACATGATCTCAATCCTTGATTTTTTTAGGTGAGGGATCTAAGGCCTGGAAAAGTGACTTACCAACATGAGACTCTGAGTAGCAGGTGTTCTCATCCCTGGGCTAGGGATATGGGGACGAGCAGAGCCAGCATCACAGGATGCTAACATGCTAACAAAGCTGGCAATATGCATGGATTCACAAGGATGGCTCTTCAGCAATGGAAGAGGAAAATTCACATGTGGATTCAGCTGCCCGGCAGCACAGATGGATCCCTCTGGACAAAGGACCTGGGGCAGCTTGGGTCCTGGAATAGGGCTGTGTCAACACACCTTCCCACCATGCTGTTCCCTGACCACATGTCACAAGCGATCTTTGTGATTTTTTTCCTTTGAAGGGTATTTTTCAGGTTCTTATTTCCTCCTGGATTGATTATTTTGAAAGTAGAATGAATGAATATTCAATTTGTTAGTGGAATTCCCCACTGATTATCACCAAGTTTATTAAATGATAATAGGACATGAGATCTATTTTTCTAATTGAACCAACTTCTTCTTATGTGATAGTGAACTAATAGCCTATAATAATCTGGAGTCACTACGCCTCTAATTCTGTTAACATTTGAACAGGTGAGAGAGTAAGGGCAGATTATGAATCTATTCCGAACTATTTATTAGGCTTCTATAATATATTGGTTCAAATGTAAACTGTGGCTCAAAAATAACCTGTAGACCAGCATATAGTAAGCCACAGAAGGTCTTTAGGTAACTTAAAGAGTAAAGAAGGCCCTAGAATGGTATACACAGCAATTCTCAAAGTGTTGATTATAGACCAGCACCATCAGCATCAATTGGGAAGTGCCATCCCAGGCCTATTGCATGAAAAACTCTTGGATGGATCCTTCAATCTGTTTGAACAAGCCCTGAAGATGATTTTGAGGCATCTTAAGGTTTAAGAGCCACTGATAGACTGAGAAGCCTATCTTTGTAATTTTGTAGATCTGCATTTGAATCCTGGTTTTACTATAAACAGTGAGACATTAGGTTAATTATTTCTTTTTATTTATTTATTTATATGGGGTGCTGAGAATTGAACCCAGTGCCTCACACATGCTAGGCAAGTGCTCTACCATTGAGCCACAGCTCCAGTCCCCTAAGCTAATTATTTCTGAGCCTCAGTTTTCTCATCTGTAAAATGGAAATAACAACCCTCTCATCAGATTATGGTAAAAATATAATGAAGATAATCTGTTTGTATTTGTATCTGTATATATCCATTCTAATAGAGATTCTTGCATATGGCAGGTAATTTGTTAAGGACTACCTCTACTTTTTTTTTTTTTAAATTTATTTATTTATTTTTTTAGTTTTCGGTGGACACAACATCTTTGTATGTGGTGCTGAGGATCGAACCCGGGCCGCACGCATGCCAGGCGAGCGCGCTACCGCTTGAGCCACATCCCCAGCCCCAAGGACAACCTCTACTTTTAAAACTCGAGCTAAAAGTATGCTTTCTAATCTGAAAGAATGATTCTATTTTACTTGAGGAAAGAATACTATGTCTGAACAGATTTATTTGGTCAGACATGTCAAAAAGGAATGAATGAAAAATCTTCACAGACATAGTCAACTAATTACTAGTCGTATGATTCTATAGTTGTTGGGAGTTTTGTAAACAAATTGGTTAAAGATTTAGACATGATGAAATGTGCTGAGTTACTTGCATTGTTTTTCTTTTACAATGTCCTGACTCACTGCCATTTTATGAAGATAAACTTGTATAGGTTAATAAACAGGCCAAGGTCACAACCGACTCTTGGAATCATAGAGCAAGACAATGTGAACTTAGGTGCGTTTCTTGCCATATTACTGGCAACAGTATAGTAACTCGAGAACAGTGCAGGGTTAGGTCATTCATCCCTAGGAACCTCCTACCTCTTGACTTTTTATATCCTTAAAAGTATCATACAGAATGCATTCTCAGTGAATGTTTGCTAAGGAGGATGCCAAGCTTGGGTCAATTATTATGCTAATCTGAACAGCCAGTGGAGGTCAGCTAGAGGAAGCGTCTTACTCGGTACTGTGGGTATCCACGAAGGACGTTAGTGACCCCAGTCGCTCCTCCAGAGTGTTAATTCTGTATCTCATGTAGAAGGTCGAGATGATTAGGGCACAGGCACTGGAAAGAGATAAAGAGCAATTTCCAGCAGGTTAATGGCCAGGATCTAATATTCAAAAAACAATAAACTCAGAGCCAATTTGAATGCTGGAGAAAAGCATTTTCTAAAACAACTTGGCTAAAGAGGTGTTCAAAAGATCATTTTAAAAAACAGGTCGATGCTTGGGGCTGGGGTTGTGGCTCAGTGGTAGAGTGCCTGCCTATCATGTGTGAGGCACTGCGTTTGATTCTCAGCACCATATATAAAATAAATAAAAGTCCATCAACAACTAATAAAAACATTTAAAAAATAGGTTGATGCTTGTCATGAAACTTCATGGCCAGAAGGAGACTTAAAAAAGCCCTAGTCCCTCAAATTGCAAATGATGGACATTCTAATAAGACTGTTCAAGGTCAGACCCAGGCTGGACCATCAAGCCAGTGTTCCTCCTCCTTCTACTGGAGGAGTCTGGGCAGAGAGTGCCTAGTCTGCTCCCCAGTGACTCACAAATCCCTTGCTTTATCTGGAAACCAGACTGGGCATGTTCTCTTTATTGTGAGGAACAGCTTAGAATTGGACCATGCTATTTTCAGAAGGACTGGTTACAGACTGGAAGCTGTTTAAAAAGTCAATGCCTGCGTTTTTAGGAGAGGGAAAAGTCATTTTGAAGATGTATTGTCTTTTCTTCGCATTTTGAAGATGTCTTGTCCTTTCTTCAGAGGACAGGGAACAGACGGAAAAACAACAAGAAAAAGATACTTTGTAATTTATAGAACAATGTTCCAAGGAATGGTGTCTATTCAGAACTTAGTTCTCTGCTGAATTTGGTACAATCATTATGAAAATGTAACCTATGCTTAAGAAACCAAACAACGTCAATGTAGGGGACAGAAATTGTCAGACAAAATGTTTGGGTCCCATTAGAGACAAATACAACAAAGATTCACAATGGCTCTTGGCAATGTGAAGAGGTTTTTCCTTGAGAGAATTGAATCATTTGTTTAAATCACTCAGAGTAAATACATTTACTTACACAATTGCATAAAATATAAGAATATGGTGGAGAGCCGGACATTTCTGGGACTTCACTTTATGCAAAATTCCAATGTTTTCTGACAGACCTGTTGGGTGGAAACCAGAAAAGCAACAATTTGACACCGTGGCATACTTCCTTCATTAGGCAATGTCCCAGTGGGGAAAAGATCCTGGAGACAGGTGCTCAATCCCAGGGAAAAGACATCAGAGAAAAATATTAACTGAAGCCTTTTAGTTGTCACTTTAACCAGTAGTTTCAATTGTTTCTAAAATATTTCATCCAACACATGTTCACTGAGAGCCTTCTTTGGGTCAAGTATTGAGTTGGGATCAATGGAGAACAACAGAACACCATCCTTGCTCTCATGCCAGCATAACTGGTGACCAGTTATTAGAAGATTAGTAAACAAGAACCAATTCAATGATTTGCATTTACCACCAATATTTGGATCATAATCTCAAAGTATTCAAAAGAATGAAGTGGGCTCCATGAAGACTAATTCAGCTTTGTCCCCCCCACCCAGAGTACAATGCATAACTGGGTACTGGTTGCTTCATGAACAAGAGAGAATTAAAATGCAAAAACCTACAATGAGAAGGGAGGGACTATGTAGGGATCAAGTAAGACAATGAGATATTTTAAAGGTTACAAACAGAAATCTCCTCCCCTTTAAACAAAATAAACAAACAACCCCTCTCCCCCCAACTCTACTTTTTACCATGTACAGGGAGACTTTTGACTTTTCCTTCAGGAGTTCTGTTGACATGGGCATCTGCCCGAGTTGGTTTTGCTTCTCCCTTGGAGACGTTCAGAACTGTCTGGGATTCTGTCACATGGAAATCTACCAAGTCAAAGTGGAACTGGATCAGTTTTCTCCCCAATGTATTTAAAAACACAGGATCAACTACAAAGCAAAGCGCTCTTAATCTGTATAATGGCCGAGTACATAAATGGATCTTTTCATAAGTTGGGTGAAGTGGCTGGTGATGGAAATCCAATGCTCAAGCAAACAAGTAATAAAACAATATAAGGAGAGCCTGTTGTCATCCCGCCAATTTGCAAGGGAAATTTGTCTATAGCAATTAATGCTATCACTGAAATAAGAAGTATGATAATACTACATGCTGATTTTCCTCCACCATGCTAATATTATGTCCATTTAAGAGACATTTGTTAAATGCATAAAGGGAAATGGACTTTGACCACTTAGGTAATTCCTTTCCCTTAAACTTTCAAGTTGCTCCCTTTCAGATTCCCTTTGCAACTGTTAACTAGGACGACAAGGTGGGCTTTTTTTTTTTTTTTTTTGTCTCTTTCTATGGGGAGAATGAGAGAGTTTAGTGGGGAATCAATTTTAGTTAAGAAACAAAGATCTGCCAGACCTCGAGAGTTCTCAGACTCCGGGGTTTGAGAACCAGAACTGCTGTATCCTTCCATGTCTTGACTTCTCTGTCGAACCACTCCATCCACATCTGAGAATTCATCATTGAAATCCTGAGGGAGACAATGAAAGGAAGAGAGGCCAATTTTTCCGCATTAAACAGGCAGGCTTTTGTGACTTGTGGCCATCTCCATTAGGCCTGACCCATAAAATACGGAAAAGAAGGAAGGATTACCCCACACTACTGGGATTTTCCTAAGAGATCAGAGTATCTGGTTACTGAAACTGAGATTCTTCTGGGCAGTTAGCATTCTGTCCACAACAGTGACCAACTTGTTTGAGGCAAATGTCTAAGGAAAAAAAAAAAAAGCTGGAATGCTAATGATTTGGAAAGCTTCCAGTGTAAAACTGAAGAATTCTCATTAGCACTTTGTAATGAGAAAAAACTGAGTGCTATAGACATACAGAGGAGAAAAGAGTGGATAGAAAGCTCTAAATCCAAGTTTGAATATGCAGAGAGGTATTACTAAATTATAGTTTTTTTTAAAAGATGTTAAAAACAGAAGGAAAAATGACTTTAGAAAGTAAACCATAAAATGAAAGTTTCAGCTTTTTTCCTTCCCTCAACTGATCAAAATAAGGTCAGTAATGTAAAATTTAAATTATAGGGAGATGATAGAGGAGTAAGGGAAAAGGCAGAGATGTTTCAGTTTGCATTCCTTGGACTCCTCCAAAGTACTTGGAACTACAGAGATAAGTGGGATCATTAAAATGTCCCAGCAGAGGTATAATTAGGCTGAGCTTTTAACATTTTAGTTAGCTGCCAGATGAAGAAGAGACTCCTCTTGCAAGCAAATCACCAACCTTTTGCCTTGAACTTGCCTCTTTTGGTCATCTCAACATTCATTTGTATTTTACACAAGAATTTATAGGGGAACGAAAACTGAAAAAATAAATCTCTTCAAGTTCATCATAATCTATTGAATGCCTAGAGTGTTATCAGGCTGTATGCAAAGCTCCTTGCATACATGATTGCATTTACTGCTCCTAACCACATGGTGATGTGGGCATTTTAGTGGATGAGAAGACTGAGCAGTGCCGGAGCTTGCCTGATGACATCACATGATGGGTGGAGCCCGGATCTGAAGCCAGGCTTGCTGGATTTCAAATCACATCTAATTGTGTTTTGCAATGCTTCCCATTACTTTTTGTAAAAGATAGATCCTTAAAAAATTGAGATAAAATTCACAACATAATTTAAAATATGCAATTCAGTGGTTCTTAGAATATTCACAAGGTTGTGCAACCATCATTCCAGAATAGTCCTCCCCAAAGAAAGCCCATACCCACCAGCAGTCACTACCAATTTCTCTCTCCTCCCACTCCCTGTTAACATCTGACTTAATTTCTGTGCCTATGGGTCTGCCTGTTTGACACATTTCAGAGGCAGAGGGTCCCTGACTCACAAGTTTTTGACTTTGTGACAGTGAGAAAGCAATTCACATTCAGTAGAAACTATATGTCAGATTTTGAATTTTGATCTTTCTCTAGCCTAGTAATATACTCTATAATAATCTCTTGTGAAGCTGGATAGTTGCAGAGAGCAGAAGCTCTGGGTCAGCCAAGTGACCATAAGGGAAAACAATGGATACTCTGTGGTGTACTCCACTGGTAAGCCCTGATGTTCAGTGAGCTAGGCATAGTGAATGAATTTTTGACTTATGATGTTTTCAATTTATGATGGGTTTCTAGGGATGGAACCCCACCATAAGTTGAGGAACATCTGTAACTGTAATCATACAATACATGACCTTGTGTGTGTCTGACTTCTTTGATTAAGCATTTTGTTTTCACTTGCCACCCATTTGGTTGTACATATCAACACTTCATTTCTTTGTTATGGCTGAATAATATTCCACTGTATGTATACACCACATTTAAAAAAAACTATTAGTTAGCTGAAGGACATTAGGGGTTTCTCCCTACTTTTTGTCTGTCATGAATAATACTGCTATAAACACTCTTGTAATAGTTTTTATATGAACATTCTACTACTCCTTAAGAAAAAATTCTACTACTCCTTAAAAAAATTCTGTACAGGAAGATTTGTAGGAGGTATTGAAACTATGGGATCATACTGCTTCACTAAATGCAAATATATAAGAATAACAGATTTGGGAATAATTACTTGTATGACACTGTACTCTTTGGGGAAACATTATATTCCATTAGAGGTACAAACCTTGTACAAAAGGGAGTTATTTCCCACTAGAGATTTACCCTACAGTCAACAAATTCTAAAGGAACCAAATAATGTCTACCTGTTACTTGGGCATTATAGTTTTCTTTCATTCATTTCTGAGTTTGCCTCATTTTCTTTTCTATGCTGTCAAGCCAATGAAGACAAGAATTAGCTTTCTCTCCACATGTCTGAGGCAGAAAAACAAGGCTACTCAGCAAAAAGGGATGCCTACTCTCACCTCCCGATGGGAGAGAAGCCCTGAATTAATTTTGATTTTTCCAGTTTTCTTATAGTATACACTGGTATGGTGCTTTGAATATAGAATACTTTTGTGGGATGACTTATGCCCTGCTTCAAATAGATTTGCAAATCCCTTTAAAACCATGCTAATGGTATATATAGCTCAGTTGTAGAGCACTTACCACCCTCCACCAAAAAAAAAAAAAAAAAAAAAAAGAAAAAAACAAACAAGCAAACAAAGCCAGTCCTTATGTATTTCTGTGGTGACCAGAAACTTACTAAGACAGCTTATTATCATGTTTCATTTGTTTTACAGAACTCTTCAATTACTAGAAAAAAGTTATGGTTTCCAGTGTGTCCCTCTTCTTCCAGAGACAGATCTGGAAGAATCTGCTTCAGCTCTGCCTCAAACTCTGAGGTCCTAAGCTCCTCCCACACCCTGGCCATGGTGTATGCACACAGTAATTATGGAACACACTCCCTTTCTTTTGCCTGAAGATAGTTATGTAGGCAACTTACCAGGGGCAGAGATGAAGGACGGTCTGCTTGGAAAAAATTTTCACCAGAAGACTGAATGGGGCTGCTACCAACACTTACATTCTGAAATTATTGGAACAAAATGAAAATCCAGATCAATTATAGGCAACCAGAGGCAAGAGAGAAGAAAGGCAGCTATAGAAACTCAGGATGGTCACACTTACTTCCAAGTGCCCACACACAGATTTTAGCAGTTTGTAAGTTGAATCTCTGGAGAGTAAGGAGACAAATATGTACTGAAAAACAAAAGGGAATAAGTATTAACAGAGACTCCATTATGAGAAGCATGATTTCAGAGTTCAAATAAGCAGCTGTATATATTTGTTTTCAAATGACACAAACCATCCCCCTTACCCAAACATTCAAATTTTACTTCATTTAAATAAATAATAAAACAAGTATAAGGAATAAAGCAAGTATTACCTCCCCCATAACAATAAAACTTCTAGACTCAATTTAAGAATAATAAAGAAATGTAGGGCTCCAAAATTCTGACATAGGTGCCCCTCAAAAGCTCAGAGAGCAATGGGCCTAGACATTCAGAAAAGACCAGTGGTATCTGCTAGATCCTCTTAAAGTCTCTCCCACTCCAGTTTTGTTTTTGTGTTTAAAGGTATTTAACAATTCCCCTGGGTCCACTTTCTCTGCCCTGACCTAGATTTCCTCTGAAAACTTCCCAGCAACTCTAATAGGCCAGTTCTTTTTCACACCATTTCCAGATTCTTCCCTTTACAAATATGGAGATTTTTCTAGTGGTTGCTTATAAGTGAGTTATGGGAAAAGAGTAAAATCAGAGCCAGGCAAATAAGCTGGAGACAAATGACATAAGGAAAGTTATACCATAAATGGGATATTCACAAAATATAAAAACTCACTTTTCTCCATCTATCTGAGCCACTGAATCTTTTCAGATCCCCTTTGTATGACTTTGTGATGATCCCTCTCTTTCATCAAGAAAACTTGATGTCATTTCCAAGTAAGTATTTATTATATTCCAAAGTAGTTAACACTGTGGGTTCTGGCATTAGATTCAGTTGTAAATTTTGGCTTTGATATTTACCAAGTGGGTGATTTTGGGGAAAGCTGCTCAAGCATTCTTGCCTCATAGGTTGGTAGCGTGGAATAAATGAGAAAATACAAAGAAAGCATTTGATGTGTGAGGGATACTAATGCCAGTTAGCTGTTAGTATTTTTTAAAATCTCAAAATAGATATATTAACTTATTTGCTAGCTCATCAGAATTGCCTCTTTTTATCTTTCCATAAGTTATCTAGTATGGTGAGAAGTGGAATATAGCTATGTGTTTTCATAAATATGGTAGGTAAGAGATTAAAAAAGAATTTCAAGTAAAAAACAAGTAACCGAACTTCTCCATTTCCTCTCTCCTGTCAAGCTGAAATAAATACCATTCTCTCTTTCTCTCCTCCACCCTCTCTCTTTGTGGTGCTGGGATTGAACCCAGGGCTTCAGGCAAGCTCTCTACCACTGAGTGATGCCTAGTCCATGAATTATTACCACCTCGAATGGGAATATTTCTGGTTGCACGTGTCTGGGATAGCCCAGGAATCAACAGTAGCTCTAGAATTTCTTGATAGAAGAGAGGTTGTCCAAGTACCTGGTAGCAAAAAGGGGTGGGAACTGATCCCAAAGCTATAATTGTGGAGCAGGTACAGGTTTCATGCATTTGGGATGACTCTGGGGAGGCACCTAACTGGTTATGAGAAGGCTGGCCAACCCCCTCCTAGAGACTCTTCAGTGTCACCTGCCTCCCCTATCAGCAAGGCCGCTGTCATTATTTTTTCTAGTAATATTAAAGGAATTGAATATTTCAGTTTTGTCTGACTGAACAATTGTTAAGGAAAGGGAAGTTGGGAAAGAATTTAACTTTTTTGACCTTGGTCAAGCAAGTATAGTTAAGTCAGTAGGAAATTCAAAATTGGGAACAATTACATTAGAATAAATCATTTTGCGGGGGGAAATATAACATAATTTCCCTAGGCTATAATTTTTAAAATTAGTCTTATAGAAAATCTCCAGCTTCACTGTAGGAGATGATGATATTTACGGTCCCAGGTCTCTGTCCTTGGCAAGAAGCCTGGAAGGCAACAGAGCCCAGAGCAGGAGGATAAAGCAAAAGTGCTCATGCTCTGCAGGAGTACTCACCTTGTCTGTGACTGTTGCTATAATCAGGGCATTTGGCACCAGAAGAGCAGTTTTGGTTTTCTTTATTAGGGTTACTGAGAATGCTGGAATAGAGATCTGAAACAGATTCAGGAAGTTAGCACTGGTTTAGACTTCACAGGAGAGCACTTCAAATCTACATATTAAAGGAAAAATGGGGAGAAAAGATAAACAAGGAAATCAACACCAGCATCAAGCTCCCTAGACTTCATGAAGAAAAGTGAATCTTCTCAGCAATTTAGTGAGACCCTCAGCAACTTAGTGAGACAGCATTCCTGGGTTCAGTCCCCCTGTACCAAAAGAAAAATAAAAGTGAATCTTACAAAGTGGTATGAGTCAGGTGTGGTGGCACACACCTGTAATCCCAGTGGCTCGGGAGGCTGAGACAGGAGGATCTTGAGTTCAAAGCCAGCCTCAGCAATGGTGAGGCACTAAGCAACTCAGTGAGACCTGTCTCTAAATAAAATACACAATAGAACTGGGGATGTGGCTCAGTGGTTGAGTGCTTTGAGTTCAATTCCTGGTAACCCCTCCCCCCAACCAAAAAAAGAATAGTATGGATGGTGCCACCTGAACTCTTCAAACTGGTGTTTATAAAGCCAGAGGACAAATCTGGACCAACAATTCTACTGAAGGTCTTACTGGGAAACTTTTCTCTTTAGGCATGGGGAATAGAATATAAAAATTACATTCATTTTCATTTATTAGAGCCCAAGAAGTTCCAAGATGTGGTCACCCGCTTTGGGTTAACTTCCACATGCCCCACTCCCCTCTGTGTAGGGCATGTGTGGGTGGGGACAAAATTCAAGAATGCCAGTGCAGTAGAGAAATCACTGCAGAGTCAGGGTTATTCAGTTCTGCATGACTCCCTCAGTCTTACAAACTTTCTACTCTGGGCCTGTTTCCTGATCCATGCATTGGAGATAGACTTGTCTATAGAATTTTCCATGACTTAAATGTGAAATATAATTTGGAAATATATGGAAAAAGGTCAGTATCAGATAAAAATTTCCATCCATTTCCTCATTTGTCTCATGAAATTAGGATTTTTTAAATTAGAACCAAAAAATAAATTTATTAGAACCCAAAACTACAAAAATAAACATACATTGGTGAAATATAAATTCACCTCTGGTTCTAATAAAAATGACAAAACTGTAGAAGCTGTCATTATTAACACCTGTTTACCAGATGGGGATGTCATTTAATTACGATAAGACTATAAAGTTGGTATCTTATAATGAAATTTGTTTAGAGAGGTACATGACTTGCTTGAGGTCCTACATAGAGAAGGTTACAAAGGTAAAATCTGAACTGAATTGATCTGAAATGTGGGTTATTTTCAATACATTGTGCTATAAGAATGTACGAGATGGTGCAAAGAACACTAGGCACTCTGGATATCTTGTTATATCCTCCCAACCTCATTTGGTTACAAAGAAGAATAGATCATATCACTTTGATCCCTGAATAATAGAGTCACACAGGAATGGTTAAAAGAAAATGATGTCACTCCCTCCATAGGTCTGTGTGCTTGCCTGAACATGTGTTTTGTTAAAATGCTTCATTTATTCCAAAAGAGATCAACAAGGTTGACAGGAAAGAGGAGGCCTTGCGTTAGTACTACCAGCTTGAGGAAGGAAAACGAACTTTTAATTTTGAATCTTTGCATTCACATTTGGGTTTATGAGATGCGCTGACTTATTGCCCTGCCAAGTTCCAGACAAGAAGACTAAGGAGGAATGAGGAACTAATCCAAATTAGGTATTTTCTCAAAGCTCTTTTGCCAAAGAACTCTACCCACAAAAAATTTTAAAAATAGGAGGTAATTCTGCAGTTGTAAATTGGGATACCTTTGGGAAAACTGAATTTGAAGACCTATGAAGATTAATGATGATATCAAAATGAGTCCAATTTGGTTTTTGAGCAGCAGTGCAAACACACAGTGACAAGGGACTATAAATTTAGATTTTTCTAAGGCACTGAACACCCTTAAGGAGTTTTCAATCATGAGTGCAAAATTACAACTCCACAGCATTTGTGAAACGAAGCTGAAATTACTTTTCAGTGAGACCAAATGGAACTTGATAGATGCATGCTAATTTTACTAGTGTCTGAAATAGAGACCGGCCGACGACAAGGTTCTGATCAAATTAAGGCTAACTTTATTAACAGTTTTCCACGGCAGGGTGCTTAGAAAGTTCCCCTTCCGAGAGCAAATTATCTGGGTGTCTTCAGTTCATACTGGAACATGCTGGACTTCTATTGACAGTGAGGAGATTCTGTAACATCTCGGAAGCCCAGATCTCTTTTGATACTCATCAGAGAGGAAGAAGCATATGACTCACTATTATGGTTCTTATTCCCACTCCCTGCTAATTTTCAATCTTCTGCCTCTGTAAGTTAGACAGAGCATATGCAAAAACAATCCCCAAGAGTCTGCATCTTTAAACACCCAGGGTTTTACCTTCTTTTTATCATTTCTCTGTTAGGTAGAAGTAGGGTTTTTAAAGCCATTGCAGAATAGTATTAGCTTGAAACTGCATTTACTACCTTTCTTCATTCTTCCATCTCTAACTGAGGACTGTCTTGGTCCATGAATATCTTTAACCCTTGCTTCTCTGCTCAGAGATGTTGGCTCTCCCTGAACTTCTGAGAACTACCTTTACCACACTGAATGGTACTATATAATCTCCTTCCCAAATCCATGAACGAGTTCTCATAATTCAGAAATCTAGACCGTATGGTGAGATACTGCTTAATATTGCTTTGTGTTATATTGATTCAGATAATACCTCAAACCAAAATTTGCTTATTTAAATGTGTCTCTACAAAATAAAGAAGGAAGGGGCTGGGGATGTGGCTCAAGTGGTAGTGTGCTCGCCTAGCATGTGTGAGGCACTGGGTTCGATTCTCAGCAGCACCACATAAAAAATAAAATAAAAGATATTGTGTCCACCTAAAACTAAAAAGTAAATATTTAAAAAAAAATAAAGAAAGAATACAAAAAAAACCCATGTTTTACCTGAAGAGTAGTATGCTTGTCTATACCTAATGCCAAAAAAAGAAAGTTTCCATTGTATTTGTTGAGTGGTCTCTATACATGTGCCAGAGGCTTTCAGGAAAATATTTTTAAAGAAGCAAATCAACTCAAATAAAAAAGTTTATCATCAGCCTACTTCCTGGGTATAGAGACTGCTTATTCATCATCATGAATCAGAGTGACTGAAAACTCACTGTCATGCAACCCAAGAAGATGTTTTTGTTGACTTCTTACTCTGGTGGCCTGAGTGAACTGTGATGTAACACCATGCTCGAAGGCAAGGATGTCATCAGGAGGGGATTATCTCTTCTCTTCCTACACTGCAGGTTTAGAAGGCGGTGCCGCGGGCAAACTGCCAATTTCCTCAGGTTATTCTCATTTATGCTCAAGTGTCACGCACCTCTGCTCCCTGAATCTGTGTTTAATGAGAATGAAAAGGCTCAGTATCAGAGAGTCCTTGGGGAAGTGGGTATGAGACTCCTCCAGAGGAGGTCTAAGTGCTGCCCTTGCTGCTGAGGATGTGCTTCATGTGCAGGTCTCCTCTTTGTTGGTCTGAATATGGTGTAAAGTTTAACATTTCTTACACAAAGGGTTTTGGTTTTAATGAATGCCTTTGAAAGAAATTGTATCACCTTCTCATATGAAACACTCTTGGAGTGTTTCTGGTGACATTTGGGCAAAGGGTATCTAGGGGAGAGGGACCTTGTGCTTGTATAAGGAAACGAGTGAGCATGCTGAAGGGAGGACTCAATCCTTGACTCCATTTTCTCTCTCTCTGACCTGTTTGTCTCTGAGTTATTCTTCCCCTCAGTTATCTTAAATTCCAGGTCTGAGAGATAACATCTTATGATGGATATTGAAACTGCCCTTTCTGCCCCCAGCCATGATTTTGTTGGTGCTGACAAGACAAGACTGCAAGACAAGACCAGCCTAGGACAAAGATCAACTCGACCAGGACCTGAGCAAGATCATGGCCACTGCAACCCCCTTGCCTCTCGCCTCTGCTCTTTCCTGGTAGAACCACAGTGCTACTGTTGAGGCCCTGAAGATAGCGCTCTGACCTGTCTTCCCAGTACAACCACACTGAGAATATATTCCCCAATAGCTTTTGCTATTGTTGTTTTTTGGGGTGGCTGGGAGTCGGCCTGGTCTGCTGGGATTCCCCAGGGGCCAGGACTACAGTTAACAATGGTATTTAGGCAAAGAGGGAAGTTAACATCATCTGGGGGCATTGAAAACCTGTAGTCTTTGAAACCACAGCAAAAGAAACTTGGTGTAAAGGCATAATCATGATATATTTACAAACAGAGTTAAGTTAAAAACAATTTATATGTGCAATATATAAAAATGCAGGATTAGCTTTCTTTTCTAAATATCATACCAACCTTAGTGTCTTTTCCAAAGACCTTGGAATGAAAACAAATCCAGTTTTCTGATACAAAGAGCTTTCCTTGGTATAGTATTTCTTTCTGTAGAGCGCAGGTAAAGCCTGGGAGAATACAGACAGGTATAACAGCACCATTTAGGATCCCACTAAAATATTATTTTCATTATTTCCATTTAAAATAAAAGTTGTGTATCTATTCAAGAATGGGCAGAGATAATATACTCATACTCCAAAATTCTATCACCTCTTTCTCAGTCATCTTTAGTGGAATAAAAGCTGCGGTGACTGGATTTTATTTTTTAATTCAAAGTCTTAACAGATTCTAGAATAAGAATCAAAACGGGATGTAAGTTAACCATCATACCCGAGAAACCGAGACTGGTGTTTCAGAAGCCTCCTGTTTAGGAAGGTGTGTCACCCGTGAGAAGGTGTGTCACTCGTGTGCCAACTGTGGCACGCCTGGTCCTCCCTTCCCAGGGATCCTCACTAATGACTCACTAAAGAAATAGCCAGCCACTTCAGGGAGAGCATGTGACTTTGCCCTCTGCCTGGAGATCATTGCAGGAATCTAGCATCTTGCCTTCATACATGTACACCAAAAGAGGCTAGGAGTGAACCTTGGGGCCCCGATGTGATGGGCCACACACATCACCAGCATTCTGGGAATCTGCATAGCACAGATATTAGCATATCTGTCTATACTTTTGACCTGTGTGTCCTTTTAACTTTCTTGTAGCCTCTCTTGCCCCAGGCTTGTTATACTTGAAAAAAAAAAAAAATCTCAGGATGATTCAATCAGCTGTATTTCAGCAATAAATACAAAAGGCAGGAAATCATTCTGGAACTATGCTGGATGAGTCCATAACTCATGAAGAGATTCAGCTTCTCATTCTACTCTCTTACCTTGCAAGGCACTAGGGGAAAGGTGACTGTGGCTGGCATTATTGCTCCTCCATGACCTGCTGCCTTCAGAAACCTATTCCCCACACTGACTCGGTTCCCCAAATAAGTAGCAGCTTCTCACATATGTGGCTTAGAAGTTAAAACAGGTCCAAACTTACTTTGCCTCAGTGGTTCCTCAGTTGGGACATCAAGAAACAACTTGTGAAAGTGCATGTTCGCCTTGTACTGCAGAGAGGAAAACACAGGCCTCACTGTACAAATCCTAACTCCAATTTAGATTAAATAACACATTTTCCCTCCCTTAATGCTATCTTTAGGAATTTACCCTCTCTGATCTTATAAATCTCCAACCCAGCCCTTCACTTGGAGAACAAAGGTTTATTCTAACAGGATTAATGCCTCGCTGGGTGGACACCACATGCAGCAGGTGGTCAGCTGAAGTATCAGGCAGGACAAGGATGTTCCTGATAAGGAATGAGACGAACTCTAAGGAATCTCACTAGAGAAGGTACTGGCTACCAGGGCACTAAAGATATGGGTACCTCAGAAGATCCCAAAGGGTAGAGCTTTGTACTCAAATAAACCTGGACTACAGTCCATGGTGTGGGATCATGGCCCAGTCAATTCACTTCCCTGGGTCTTGGTTTTCTCTTCTGTGCCAGAGGCCAAAGCATCAGAGAGATGCCACCAGGCTTACAAGGGTAGCACACTGCCTGCTTTCCTTCTTTTCCTCCCTTCCTTCCCCTCTTCCCCTCCTTCCCTCCCTCCCTCCTTCCTTCCTTCCTTCTTTCCTTCCTTCCTTTCTTTCTACACCAGGGATGGAACCCAGGGGCGCTTAACCATTGAACCACATCCCCAGCCCATTTTTAATTTTTTATTTTGAGACAGAGTCTTGCTGAATTACTTAGAGCCTTGCTAAGTTGCTGAGGCTGGCTTTGAACTTGAGATCCTCCTGCCTCAGCCTCCTGAGCTGCTGAGATTACATGCCTGTGCCACTGTGCCCGGCTGACAAGTGGGATTTCACACAAAAGAATTAACTCTCCAGGGCAGTAGAAGGCCCAAGAGTTGGAAATGCTGCACATTTCTTCATCTTCACCATGTGCAGCTTGCAACTTGCTTTCACAAACCTCATCCTCAAAATAACCCTAGGAACTCGGTGTCCCTATTCCAGGGCTTAGGACCTCTCTTCAGGAATACCGGGAGCTTTAAGCCATACCAAAAAAGTAGGCAGAGTGCTACCCTTATAAGACTGGTGGCATCTCTCTGAGCTAGGTCCTCCCTCTGCAGGATCACTCTGCTGCATAGGATGCTTCTGAAGAAAAAGTCTGATTAGGAGAACTGAGAGAGACGGGCAAGTAGGCCCCTGATGATGTAGTCCCCAAACCAGGGGGGCTCAACGGCAGGACCGGACCTCTTGTTGCTGTACAGGAAAGCTGTAGACCAGGTTGTCACAATGACAGGTGGTCCCTGCAAGCCAGCTATTTTATAGATAGACACCTTACATAAAGTACATTTCCTTGTGCTGCTTCTTAGGAGGGCACTTTGCACTGAGAAAGATACCCTGATGAAAGCTAGGTGTTTGATGGGAGCTTCAGTAGTATTTTGTGTTTAATGGCTACAGGGAGCACTGTTCACACATTTGATTTAAAACATCTTAGGTCATGGAGTCTTTAAAAGCATCAGTGTAGAGGCAGGAGGATCTCCAGTTCAAAGCCAGCCTCAGCAATCTAGTGAGGCCCCGAGCAACTCGGCAAGACCCTGTCTCTAAATAAAATACAAAAATGGGCTGGGAATGTGGCTCAGTGCTTAAGTGCCCCTGGGTTCAACCCCTGGCGCCCCCCTCTACTCCAAAATGTCCGTGTAATGAAGAGCAAAAAAAAAAAAAAAAAAAAAGGTAGTGGAACAACACATATAGTACCTGACTCTTGATTGGATCTGGGTAGGGAAAAAAAAAATCCCAAACACCTTTACTTTATAAAGGACATTCCTTACTAGGGCAGTTATGGAAATACAAACTGAATTTTGGTACTTCATTAAATTTCATGGGTGTGCTGTTTGTTTTAATTTTTAGGAAATACATATTTAAGCATTTGGGGTGATATGTCAAAAACCCCCTCTCAAGCCCCCAAATGACAAGAAGACCGGCCTAGAAGTGGAGCTCAGGGGTGGAGCATTTTCTTAGTGTGTGGGAGGCCCTGAGATCAACTCCCCACACCCAAAACAACAACAAAAAACACCAACCCCAAACTCCTGGCCCAAGTAAACACGTCACACTCAGTGACACAGAACTGGGCTTTGTTACCTAGTGGGGTGTATCTGAGAGCAGAACTGAAATTACTTCTGCAGAAGGCCTTTCTTCTCTGGTGCCTTTTCTGTAATTTTAATTGTGGATGTTACATCGTCCCCTGTCCTGCTAACTATTAGACAAGCACTGTGTTAGTATATGCTCTCTGGGTACTTGTCAGAGTTAGGGGACACAGCACAGCATCTGCTACCTCTCAGTATGTGTCGAAAGGTCAGGTGTAGAATCTAATAGTGATGAGAAATTGACCAGAGGAAGAGCCATTGTCTGTCCTTCCAAACTCTCTGAACTCCTGTGCCTATGTCAGTCATGCAGGAAGTTGCCTGCTCAGGTTATTTTATTTTATTTGTTGTTTTTGGATACACATGATAGTAGAATGTATTTTGACATATTATACATACGTGGAGTATAACTTATTCTAATTAGGATCCTATTCTTCTGGTTGTACATGATGTGGAGTTACCTGGTCATGTATTCAAATACAAAGATAGGAAAGTTATGTCTGATTAATTCTACTGCCCTTCCTATTTCCTCTTACCCCTCCTTTCCCCTCCCCTCCCCTTTGTCTAATCCAATGGACTTCTTCTACTCTTCCCCTTCCCACCCTCCCTTGTTGTGGGTTGGCATCCACATATCAGAGAAAACATTCAACCTTTGTTTTTTGGGGACTGCCTTATTTCACTTAGTATGAAAGTCTCCAGTTCCATCCATTACTGGCAAATGTTAAAATTTCATTCTTCTTTATGGCTAAGTAATATTCCATTGTGTATATATACTACATTTTCTTTATCTGTTCATGTGTTGAAGGACACCTGTGTTGGTTCTATAGCTTGGCTATTGTGAATTGAGCTGCTACCATGCTCAGGTTCTTTCCCTCCCTCGGCCCTAATGGTTCTGTCATCCAGTTACTCCATTCCCCTATTACCTGGCTGGAAGAGGAAGACTTTTTTCTTTCAGTCTTAGGGTCATTTTTGCTTTCTGTTTTACAGTCGTTCTTATCACCTACTAAAGAGGTACCATCACAATTGGATTTTGACCTGGGGAAATAAAATCCAGGAGATTATAAGATGAATTGTTTTATCCACTCATTATTTATTATAATAAATCTTGATTATTATACTATGTCACGCGAAAACCTGATGTTTATTTGTCTCTTCTAGATATCAGCAATCATTCCTGATACTCTAGGGCATTTACACAGCACGAGTCTCAAGTGAGTGGGGGATTAGAGCAGGCTACCAGCACAAACTGCAGAAATGATAACTTATTTATAAAAGGAGAAATGACAGTTGCGATGTGAAAGTAACCACATCATTTCAAAAGTATTTTCGTCAGTATAAAGAGGAGTATTTGAAGAAAATTACCAAATAAAATTAGAGCTATAATTCAATCAAAGAATATTTCTGTCTCAGAACCCATTAATATTTAACAAGTATTAATTGAGGGAGGCATTGTGCTAAATGCCTTGGGCACACAAGGCAGTCTTTATGTTTAGGGAGCCTGTGTGCACACGCAGCAGACATGGCTTTAAGAAGGCAGGACTTGATTCAGCAAGATGTATCAGAGGAGTTGGGAGAAGGTACAGAGACAGTAGGTCAAACAAGAGGCAAGGGAAAAGGAGGTCAACAGAACAATGTGGGCTTAATGAGTGGGGCCTAACAGGATGAGCAAGAATTGGGTATGAGGAAAAGAGAAACAAAACATCTCAGATGGGGGAAAATAGTAAGAGTGAAATCAGTTACAAAAAAACCAAAAACAATGTTTAGATCTGGGTCAAGTCTTCTTAGGTCCTGTCTTGTTAAGGGCAGAGGTCAGAGCTCCAGAACTTCTTTCTAAAGTGATTCTAGTTCTGGCTCTCCATTTTAGCAGATGTGGAATCTGAACATATATTCAATCCTATAGCTAAAAACAGTCCAAGTGAAATGCATATATGATTTCCAGAGGTAATATATGAACAAGTCTTATGATTGCATAATTGCCTGCTTATTTCTTGGGAGGAAATGATATACAAGAAATCCATGATTTTACATTATTATTTCTTAATATGAGGGCCTGTTCATATTTGGTTCAAAGTAGATTTAGGAAGAATATGAAATAATTTGGATGCCACAGAGGGGCAGAAATGACTGACATTAGACACGACACTAGGCTCTGATTTGCTTAGTTGTGAAAACACAGGCCATAGATGCCCTCGGCCCCTTCCAGCCCCAACAGTTCATGATCCCACCAGGCTCACAGCACAGGTTAAGTGCTGCTTAGCAACTCAAGGTAAATGATTGGGTTTCAGCTACAGGCCATTGAACCTATTTATACATATAAATTTCCGGGGAATTCTAGAGATCACATTTTGGAAACTGTGAGTAAATGTCTGTCCTCGAAAAGAAAATTATTCTTACAAATGTCAAATTACCAGTTATTCACACTCCTTCCTGATTTCAGTGTCATCACCTCTTCTGATTCAAATGAGTACCAACAGCATTGCCAAGGACATGTCCAGGTCTTCTGAAGACCACAGGCTGCATGTAGGCAGGAATGACAAGGTGAGCAGGTGACTCTACCTTGGGTAATTTCAAGCCACAGGGGGCTGTCTGTGTAGGGCTGACCTCTGGTGTGGAAAGCTTCTTTACTCTTGGGTTTTTTTTCAACTGTGCCATTCTCAATGAGCATAGCCCCATGCAAAATTAAAGTGTGCAGCCTCTGCACAAAAATGATTAAGGATTTCCCGACAGTGCAAACAGAGCATTCGCCCCTGTGCCATAGCACAGGCCATGAGGCCACACAGTTTCCAGCGTGTCCTCCCTGATGCAATGTGCTGTTCTCATCTGAAGCCTGAGGAAGTTGGAGTAAAACCAATAATGTCTGCAAGGTGACTGTTGGAGCCAGTTGACACTGCTGAAAATTACATGAAATAATAACGTATTTTGTGCCCTTACGGAGAAACTCACTTGGTGAGTGAGGCAGGATGTTCTTACAAAAAACTACTGTAAAAGGGATGGAGAAAAGTGAGATGCCACAAGACAGGCATGCAGAAAAGATGGAGAAATAATTGGAAATCAGAGTCTGAAAAGAGAAATCTGGAAGCAGAGTTAAAACTTACGCTTGGTCCTGAATGAAGAATAGATTTGGAGAGAAGATATGGGCTGGGAGCCAGGAAAGAAGTGAAAAGAAGCAGTTAGTTAATTATTTGTTAGTAGGCGCCAAAAGAGGGAGAAGTTCTAATAATGGGCAGGGAGAGTGATTGCTCCTCAGCTGAGATAAAAAAAAAAAAAAAAAAAACCACATTGGGGGCCAGAGATGTAACTCAGTGGCAGTGCACTTGCCTAGCATGTGAAAGGGCCTGGGCTCAATCTATGTATTTAAAAAACCAAACCAAACCAAAATAAAAAAAATCAAGAAAATCACAACCAAAAAACCCAAACAAAAAAATTGCACATTTACCTATCATTGACCATTGGTTTAGTTACTCTCTTTAAAGGGCTCAAAAGCAACTTTAAGTCCCTTCTTGGTAGTTGGTGTCTCGGAGACTGATGGAAACCACAGCTATATACCTCAAAGTCTCCCTTCCCCGCTAACTTCCCTCACAGCCCAGTCACAGACACAGGTGGCCTGGTGGATCACTGGGATGGGTTTTCCTCTGTTCTTTTCCATGGCTCCCAGGAAAGTGAGAAGCCAGGCCCAGAGGCTGAGCAGATGCTGCAACTGGCCAGCCTTGCCAGGTGCTTCATAAATCTGTGCTTGGGGGCTGGGGCTGTGGCTCAGCAGTAGCGCACCTGCCTGGCATGTGTGAGGCATTGGGTTCGATTCTCAGCACCACATATAAATAAATAAATAAAATGGAGGCCCATCAACAGCTAAAACAAACAAACAAACAAACAAATAGCTGACTGACTGACTGACTGACTGAATGAATGAATCAATCAATAAATCTGTGCTTGGGAGTGGGGCTTCCTGGCTTCATCAGTCTGCAAAATCAGTGCTTTCTGAAAAGGCTACCCGTACTTCAGAAGGCTGGGCAGGAGGAGAAAAAGAGGCTGCTAGAAAGAGATGAGAGAGGAAGCCAAGTGCCTGTGCCTGGCTGTCAAGGAAAAACACTCTGTTCTTTCCCAGAGGCCTTATTTGCCTACAGTCAGTCCACACTCTTCACACCAACCATAAAACTAGAAACCCCAGTCTTCCCACAACCCTGAGAACAAAGAGTCAAGTGAGGACTCACCGCAGGCAGATGCTTTTCTTCTGGTCTGGGGACTCGGCCTCCACCGAGGGGGTAGGGGACTGGGCTGTTGGACTCCTGCTGGTTTTCTTTTTGTCCTCCACACCATTTTCAGCCTCTGAGCTGGAGAAGAAAGAGAAACGCTTCACCTTAGACATCCAGAGGGAAGTGGAAGGAAAAAAACGGTGGAGTAACCTGGAGTTCTGGAGAGCAAATGATCTTGAATCCCCACTGACAGGCTGGTCAACTTGGACAGCTGTGCACTTTCCCAATCTCCATTCTGACCCCTCTGGGCTGGAGCCTCGAGGGCAATAGTTGCAGATCACAGCTACTTCACTTGAAAAGGCCGACTGTGTAAGGACTGCTCAGCTCCCAGGGCTGTGCCTGTGGGCCCTGCACCGCCCAGCTTTGGCCAGCCTAGGCGTGTGCTGGGCAGCAGATCACCTGGAGGATGGGAGGGCCCTGTGCGCAAGCGCTCTGGAACCCACAAGGGGTGGCTGCCTGCAGGTGCTGGGAACTCCCACCCACTCTGTTTGTACTTCTCTTATGTCACTTATCACCTTTTGTTGTAGTTATGAAGGTTCCACTTTGGGTTGTTGTTGTTTTAGCCAACCACTTCCCTAAGCAATTTACAGTCTTTAATCTTTACAACCACCCAGGCTGGATAGGATTGATTACCTTCATTTTACAGATGGGATATCTGAAGCTTTCATCAAATATGAACAAGTTTACAAAACTAGCATCTACCTTGGTTGAAATTCAAACTCAGTTCCGTTCACCTGTAAGGTATTTGTGTACACATTCTCTCTTTCAGTCTCTCTCCCCACTCAATCATCCATCCCCCAACCACTTACTCGTCCATTTATCCTTCTTACTAGCTCTTCAGTGTGAGAGCCCCATGGTGAAGTGGAAATCTGATTCATCTTTACACAAACCACAGGGTCAAGGATAGTGGCAGTATGTAGTCACGGTCAAGTGGTTTTGGAAAAACTAGATCTAACCCTGGTAAAAGAGTGGAAGAGAGTAGACAGGAAGGTGAGTCAAGAGAATTTGCACATTGAACAAATGGACAATGACCATCATGGTGTACACCACTTGGGTACAATTTCCAATGTGGGAAGTAGGAGAAAAGGAATATTCAGTTTTCTTTCTTTCTTTTTTTTTTTTATGGTGTTGGGGATTGAACCCAGGGCCTTGTGCATGCAAGGCAAGCACTCTACCGACTGAGCTATATCCCCAAACCGAGTAAAGAAATATTGAGGGGAGAAAAGAAGGTGTTATTAAAGGATCAGAACTTCTTTGATGCCAGCAATGAACACGTAAGACATACTTTTGAGGATGTAAAAACACTGTGGTAGTTGAGCATAAAGTAAGACATAGTAAATGGCATTGCTATGACAGATTTCCTCATTTTAACCTTAATTTACCACCTATTAGATATTTCCACCTGCATATGAACAAGCAGGCAGGAAATGTTATTGGCTGGTTTAAGCTTTGCTGTTGCTTGCTTAGCCCTGTCACGCATAGAAACATTGTAGTCTATACTAGGAGTCCTATCCTAAAGTTGAAATCAAGAGCCAGTGTATCTGACAAACATAATCAACCAAGTAATAATTCCTATGAATGACTGATGTTCTCATTCTGTAGTTAGCATTTCTTCTTTTCTTTTTTTTTCCTAAGTAGACAAATATTGGAGAACAGAGATCCAACCTTTTACTTCTTTGGTTCTTCCAGTACTTAAAGCACTCAAGTATATTAAAAAGGCTTAGTTCTTATTTGCACTGCATTATGTGACAAAGATTACATGGGAGACCTTGAACTCTTATTAGAAAACATTGATTGGTTTAAAATAAAATAATCGAACTTTTAAATTTTAATACTAATTTAACTTACGAACTTAGAGTTTTCAAATTGTGAATTGGCCTTGGAGCACACCTTTGCCTCTTCTATTTATTCCCTAAGACACACATATTACTCCTATTCTTTAGGGGCATCAGACAGAAATCCACTTGAGAAGCACTCTTTAGGTAGGGAGACCAACTGTGTGTGGAACTTCAACAATCCATCTCAGCATTCATTTAAATATTTACTCAATTTTATGGGGGGATAGAACAAGATTTGGAGGCAGAGCCTTTGCTGTTCTGTATAGCCCTTTTGTATAGAAAGAGCCATTCCTGCTAAAAGCCACTCTGAAAAAGGTGTCCCTCTCTTGAGGCCACACCCCTGATACATAGACTGGCAGAGAGAAAGCTCCTCTTACATCCAGCACCAAGATGTAAAGAAAGCCCAGTTCCCTCTGGCTTTGAGCCCCTCCTTGACCTTGCCCTACCTGGTCAGGCACTTCAGTACTGAGTGTCACGTGGTGGTTCTGATTCAGGTGGACAGATTACAATATCTGTGCATCCTATCTGAACAATGTCTTGCAATACAAAACACACAGGCATGTTCGAGTTAAAAGAGGCTATTTCCAGATACCCTCCACCTGGCTCTTCCTTAAACTTGTGCTTGTCTTCAGTGCAGATTCTGTGCTTGAGGGCCCTACCAGGAGGACATTCTTCTCAAAGCCTCCCTGTAACTCACCTTGCCCCTAAACAATGAATGCCTTGATCTGTTAGCTTTTCACCCACGTCTTGTTATCCAATGACTATACCAAATTCCTTGCAGGCAGGGAACTTCTGTTTTTTGGTTTTTTTTTTTCCCATAACACTCAGTTCTGCATTTTACTCACAGTGGTCATCACATGTTGATTGATGTGGGATTAATTACATATTGTCTCAAAGAGAAAGTGAGTTTCATCTATGGGTAAATTCCATGTTAGTTTAGTTTAGTTTTTTTTTTTTTTTTTTAAGATGCTTTAGACTCAAACAAGCTAATTCCTAACAGCTGAGATTTTTTTCCCTGCCCCTTACCTTGGAGGTTTTGTCAAACCTAGACTGAAGCTCTGTAGAGTCCAAACACTAGGGACGTGCCTGCGTCTGAGAAGCAAAGTGTGGGAGGGGAAACGGAATGCTTCCTCAAGGACTCTCCGTAACTTTAAAGTTACTCTCCATTAAGCTGAACATTTTTATTTAAATCATGAAAATAAGAAAATCAGGGTTTTAAAGAATATTTTTAGTTGTAGATGGTCACAATAACTTTATTTTTTTTAATGTGGTGCCCAGAATCGAATCCAATGCCTCACACATGCTAGGCAAGCTCTCCACAACTAAGCCACAACCCCAGGCTGAATTTTATTTTATTTTTTAACAGAAAAACAAAGCCTTTTAAGTTCCCTTAATCTCCAACTAAGAGACTCAACTAGAAAACAATAAACAAAAATTTTTTTTTTCTTTCAACAAATATTTATTGAAATGGTCCCTGCTGGTAAGATGCTTGGAGCTTCAGGAGGATAAATGAGCTGACAGTTCTAAGCACCCATAGGAACAGCAGAAGATGGTGGAAACCATCACTTGGTGCTGGCAGGTTATTTCTTCTCCCATCTCCATTCCAGTTTATGCATCAGCTATGGGTCCTGAAAGCTCTTCAGTAGGAATTTCAGAGCAGTGAGACAGTCATGTTTACACCCACCAAGCCCAACTTCACTTACTAGGGGAAAGAATTTTTATTCAGCTAGGACAAGCTGGATTCAATAAAATGGTTACACAATCTAAAAATAAAAACCAGGTTGGACTATCCTTATCAATGGCCCAATATGGGTCACTGCCCAGACCTCAGTAGTCTGATGATGACATAAATTCAGATGTCACAATTTTTCAGAACTAGAAGTTTGACATAGAGTTAACTATCATTCCTCCTGCTGATAGTCTCTGTGAGTTTAAGGTAAACTCGACCCTCTTTTCTCTTGTCACCTCAGGTCCCGGGCCCTTTGCCCCTCCTGCTGAGAATGTATTGCACTCAGGTATCCTCACATGCAAGGCCAGGTAAATAAGGAGCCATCTGGCAGAAGCTATATTAAGCTGCAGCTCAGGTGAATAAAAACAAGCGTCTCACTGTGGTTTAGTGTTCCTTTCTAATTACGGCAGTAATTCCTGTGTTTGAGTCTACCTTCATGTTAAATTAGTGTTCGCAAAGGCATAAAAAAAAAAAACCAAACCCACTAGATTCCTTACTCTAGTACAGGTGGGGGTAGTTTTACATCCACTATCATTAAAAAACAAACCAAAAAACCAACCACCCTCTGGTCATCATTTTTCAAACGACAGTTGTTACCAACAAAGAGGATCTCCACAGGATACATTTCTGGACACGGCCAGGGAAAGCAGAGTGTCGCGTGTTGTACTGAAAGCTCAGCTAGGACTGACTCACTAAGACCTGGGGACTCCTCACAGATCCTTCCTTGTTTCTGGTGTGTGCCTGCCTGTGGCTTCAAGGCTGAAGCAAAGACTGCAATACTTGGGAAGCAACTAGTTAACCAGCAGAGACAGAGGAAGTTTCTGGGAACTGCTGGGCAGCAGCTATAGTACAAACACAGACAGACATCTAGGAACCAAAAGAGGAAGTAGCGTGGGGTGCAGAGGTGCCGAAGCAGGTAGAAGCTGAGCTGAGGACAGCTGGGTGACTCTTCAGCTTTTCTAATTTGGTAAACTTAGAATCTCCCAAGATAGATTTTTAGGTCAAAATGGCCTTCCATTTGTAACTCTAATATAGTAATATCTTTGTCTAGACACTTTAAATTAATTTATCTATCTAAATATTTATTTCTGAATAGGTACCATAAGCACCAGTACAAAAGCTGAAAATTATAAATAAGGAAACAAATTTCCCTTTTACCCCCGTTTAGTGGTGGCCTGGTTTCTTTCTGCAAATGTACCTACTGTTCTTAGAAACTTGTGTTTTCTTCCTGGGACATCTGGGCATATGTGTGTGTGTGTGTCTGTTTTAAGTATAAATGACAGCTTTAGTATTCCACACCTTGTTTTGTTTTACTTACTGTATTTCAGTGTTCTTTTCCTTATCAGTATACAATAGATCTTCCTCATTCTTTTTAATGACTGCATAAGAGTTCCATTTGAATTAATGAACAATATTCAACCAGTTCCTTATCAATGGGCATTTAGTGGATTTTAGTCTTTTGCAAATACAAAGAACATTGCAACACGCGACTTTGTATTTTTATTATGTAT